GTGGCATGTTAAAGGAACTTGATGGCATGCTCACTTTCTTGTTTTGTTGCTAAGCTATACCTATCAATCGGTGTTGAAATATTTATGTACATTTTACCATATTTGCTTTAAAATATTGCTTCTTTAAGATCTGGCTTCACAAACTCCTTTCTGAACCTTTTTCTTAAGGATGTTTGTCTCTTTCTGAGAAATTTGAGCCTGGCTTCACAAACTCCTTTCTGAACCTTTTTCTTAAGGATGTTTGTCTCTTTCTGAGAAATTTAGCCAGAGACTTATTCATTAGATGCACTTATGAAATCTGTCAACATATTGCTAATCTTATATATCTAAGATGCTGGAAAGGACATAATTAGTGATGCATCTGATAAAAGAGTTTAAGTAAATCTCCCAACTCATTATGAGGAAAAGGGCTGGAATCTGAAAGACAATTTTCCCATGCCAGGAACATCATTAACCCAATATATGAACCGTGAGGAGAATTGTTTGGTTAAATAAATGACTTGTGCTAATCAATTCCATTCTTCATTTGCTTGGAATTAGAGAGGACAGTCTACCATGTAGGAAGTTTAACTATGAACATCTCCATTTTTTTTAAAGTGGAAAAACGTCTTTATTAAAAAAAAAACATCCAAAAACATAAAAATGCAAATAGAATTGTTAAAAGTTTGCATACAGCAACACGGTTTGAGGAATGAAAATAGAATCAGAGTCTCCTTCTCCTTGTCCTCTATTTGAAGCTGAACAAAGAGGAAAAAATCTATGCGTATAGGACAGAGTGTTGATTTATGGCTTCGTGTGCATATTTATCTCATTTCACAGGTATTTAATCGCATTTCATTTATTTATTTGTTAAATAAATACATTATGTGTGGAATACTCAAAAGTTAAGTCAGAAAAGATATGCTACTTACTTGATGTGATGATAATCTGAGTCTACATGCTGATACTGAGATAGGAAGCAATACATTATGGTCTCAGTCCGACATCCTCTCAGCATAACTTAAATATTCTCTGAATATATGGTATGCCCCCCCCCCCCCCCCGATTTACTGAAAAGCCCCTGAAGCCCCGTATGGCTATTCCATGGTCTATGTTTAGCAGGAAGGCACAGAAAAGTGTCTGTCATTTTGCATCTGACTAGAGAGACTAAAGCCAGATGCTTCTGTTATGCTGCCTTAGCCTGCTTGTCACAGAGCATGGAATGGACATGCGGGGAGCCTTCAGGTGCTTTTTGGTAATTTGTGGGGAAGGCTTTAGGAATTGTGGAGGGAGAAAGGGAATAACAACCTCTGCAGCACACACACAAAAAAGGACATCCACACATGTAAGAGAAATTTACACGTGTGTATGCCCCTAAAAGAGTTGCAGCCTACATGCTGCTTTTTGAGGTAACAAGGACATGTCTTCATTTGCAAAATTATTTTGCAAAACTACATAACAAAAGGTAAGTTAATTTTTTGTAGTATAACATTTTTTGTTTGTTTTAACAAAACAACAAAACAAAACACCCGCGTCTGTTTTCTTATGCATAAAAGTTGACCAGACTGGCAACTGAATCTTACTTCAGTGCTACCAATGGAAGAATGCCCTGTATTTCACTCAAGAACAGCAAGCTAATTTAGGAGGGTGCAAGGCTTGCTATCTGTCACATATAGCACTGGTGTCATTAGGGGGGTGCAGGGTGTGTGGACTGTACCAGGTGACACTCTAAAGGGGGGGGGTGACACCACTGTTCCTCAAACATCCATATTCGGACAGAAATAGTCTGTGGCATTTGCCTGCATTTCTTTAAAATGCTGAAGAGATGGTGGTTGGGTGATGCTCAGTGGGAGGAGAAAGGAGATGCCTCAGTTTTTTTTTTAAATTAAAATTTCAAAATTTCAAATTTATTTTTTTACATTTTAATTTTTTAATTTTAATTCTTTAAAAACATTATATTTTACCAAATTTTATCTTTAATCACATGAAGCTATGTATATGTAAACACATTTATTCTGTGCATACGATATTGTAATTTAAAGAAAATTTTAATTTTGCCTGTTGTTTATGTCACAACTGTTACCATTAGATTCAGTGATATATGGGAATTATGATTTATGAGTAAATTAGTACAAAGAACATTACTAAGGATTCTGTATGGGTGTAGCATGGTAGGAGGTCAATGAGGGAGTGAGTTACCGCACCGGGTGACACCAACCCTAGTGACACCATTGACATACAACTCTGCATTTCAGTAGCTATCACTACTCCCTACCTCTCAGCATCAGCATCAGAGGTAGCTAAATCAATGTGCTTAAGAGATTAGAGAACTGGGCTCACTTTCTTATTCACTGAATCTGAAAAAGTATATATTGCATTATTCCGCTATGGTCACTCCTTACCCACTAATCATTGAAATCAAGTTATTCATTGAACTCAGTGGCATATAATTTTTCCTAAGAAAGAAAGAAAAAGATGACAAGTACTGAATCTCAACTACTTCAAGTTTCAGTTTTTCTTCTGTTGACCACAGAGTAATGGGATTTTTCTCCCTTTTCATTGTATTGTATTTATTTTAATAGCCTACTTTTCTCCTTATGCAGGATCCAAGGCAGCTTCCAAATATTTAAAAACAGGATGCAGCTTTAAAAATTACTCGTACAGAAGTTACAAAAAACTCACAATTAAAAGTAGTTTAGTTTAAAATACACAAGGTTAAAACAATATAATATGCAGTTAAAACATAGGGAAAAATAGATTAAACCCCCCACCCCATGAAAATCTCTTTTTGCGATATAAATTATAATCCAGAGGCCTTCCTAAATAAAATGCCTGTTTGTGAAAGGAAAGGAGAGAGAGGACCAACCGAACTGATGTCATCACGTTGGAAGAGCCACTGAAAAGGCTCTCCCATGTTTTCACAAATGTGCATATGATGGTGTGACCAAGAGAAATTCTTCACCCAAAGATACTAAAAACTTGAGCAGGCTCATATAAGCCTTTTAAAGAACATTTTTCCAATCTCCAAGAAAACAACATCACAAGACCCACAAACACTCTTACACAAGTCTGATCAACAGGGGCTGCTACTTGTTAAGTTCATGGCCAAGGTGAAATTCCAGCTATGAGCTTCTTGAGTTGCAATTCATTTTCATACAGCTTTCCTGGCTCCTTTTCCTTCTCATTTTGTCCCTGCTTTGTTGAATTCAGAGTGCTTCAACGCTCTTCAGCGCTCCCCACTGAGGAACAAATAGTTCATTGACACTTAAGGACTGAGAAGTGGCTTCAGAAGCAGGGAAGGCGTGAAACTATGTGGTACAGAGGAACTCTGTAACACTCATCACAAATCTTTTAGGCTGCCTGGGACATTTCACCTACTTTTCTCTCTTCATGGTAGGTTAGAGCTGAGGTTAACAATGCAGAAGTATTTTATTGAGGTCAACAATTTTTTCTTGATCACATTTTGTCTGGCCTTTCCTCCAAGTAGCTCAGCTAAGTGCACAGATGAGCGTATCCAATTTTATCCTCACAACAAACCTGTGAACAGAGCTTAGAGAAGTTACTCTGGTGGCAGGACTGCAACTCTGAGAATTCCTCATCCAGCATGGACAGTAATAAATGCATAGATTGCAACCATGCATATATTCAAATACAGACCAGTTCAGAGCTCAGAAACTACAGCTCCCCAAACCATCTATGACAGCTAGCGGATTCTTGGAGGTGTAGTCCAAATGTGTAACTTTTTCCAGAGAAGCCTGAGTAGTTATTTAGGCTTTGAGACTATGACTAGCACATATTGTATATTTTATTGAATGGTATGTCTTAATTGTAAGCCACCCGGATTGGATTACCAATGGGCGGGGTATAAATAAATTTTTTTATTATTATTATTATTATTATTATTATTATTATTATTATTATTATTATTATTAAAGTCACCCAGTGAATTTCATTGTTCAGTAATAATAGTAGCAATGCTAAATATATAATGATGGGCCTCTGTGTGGTTGTTTTGACTCTTCAAAGTATGCCACAGGCATTATTACGCAGTAGGGGAAATGCAGCACATAATGGGTAAAGAGGCAGTACAGGAATACCTGATGAATCTAAATAAATTCAAGTCTCCAGGGCCAAATGAACTACATCCAAGGGCATTAAAAAAACTGGAAAATGTAATCTCAGAGCCACTGTCAATAATCTTCGAGAATTCCTGGAGAACAGGAGAAGTCCCAGCAGACTGGAGGAGAGTAAATGTTATCCCCATTTTCAAAAAATGAGGATCCAAACAGTTACCATCCAGTTAGCTTGACATCGATACCAGGAAAGATTCTAGAACAGATCATTAAACAGGTGGTCTGTAAGCATTTAGAATGGAATGCTGTAATCACTAAAAGTCAACATGGGTTTCTCAAAAACAAATCATGCTAGACTAATCTTCTCTTTTTTAAAAAATTGCAAGCTTGGTAGATGAAGGGAATGCTGTGAATGTAGCATATCTGTTTCAGTAAGGTCTTTGACAAGTTCCCCCAGTATAAGCTAGTAAAATGTGAGTTAGACAATGCTACTGTTAGATGGATTTATAATTGGTTGACCAGCCAAACCCAAAGGATGCTTGCCAATGGCTCCTCTTCGTCCTGGAGAGAAGTGGCCAGTGAGATAGCACAGGGTTCTGTCTTAGGCCCAGTACTATTCATCTTTATCAATAATTTGGATGATGGAATAGAGTGACTTTGTATAATCTTGAAATTAATTGGAAACGTTAATGGCTTTTACATTATATGTGTCATAAAGTTTAGAAAGTTTTAGAAAGTAAGAATAATTCACATCAGAAATAGAACACTTACTACTACTTGTCGTTGTTGTTGTTGTTGTGTGCCTTCAAATCATTCTGATTTATGGTGACCCGAAAGGAGACCTATCATGGGGTGTTCTTGGCTAGATTTGTTCAGAGAAGGTTTGCCATTGCCTTCCCCTGAGGCTGAGAGCATATGACTTGCCTAAGGTCACTCAATGGGTTTTAAGGTCAAACTGTAAATCGAACCCTGGCCTCCAGAGTCATAGTCCAACACTCAAACCACTAAACCACACTGGCTCTCTTTTATTACTTATTAATGCTTTAGCATCACAACAACTGTATAAAATAGGTCAGATTGAAAAAGAGAAAGGTTGACTTCCTCCCTCCCTCCCTTCTGGTCACTCACTAGTCCAACCTTCTAGTTCTTGTCCAACCTTCCAACCACAGGTGTTGGGGAGGTCTCTCAGAGATATAGATAAATATCCTCTAGCACCTCCAAAGATTTTTCTCATACATCCCTTGTTTTTATTGCATTCATTTTTATCCCCTCCAAAGAATACAGTGGCATACATGATCCAGTCCTTAGATTCCCAACAGGGGTGGGGAATCCTGGGTGATGTAATCCAAAAGGGTACAATTCCCAAACTCAGTGTAACTGAGTCAGTACCCCTTACTCTGCCTGCAGGTTCTCTTGTAACTTCCCCTTTCCCTCTAGGTTGGCAATTGGGAGGACAATCTTGTAATCTCTTGGAAGGTTAGATCTTTGTGGTTGTTGACTCCTATTTTATAGTTTCTTTGCAGTTAAAATTAATAATGAAAAGCTTTAGTGGCGAGTTTGCTCATACACTCTTATTTAGTTCCTGTATTATAAAGTGAAAACATTTTAAAGTAATTTGAAGGCAGGATAGCCCGCTCAGACTGCATTTCATAGGATACATTTTGTGTTGTGAAATATGAAACTGCCTGTGCCTTTTCCCCTTTGGTGACGGGCACACCCACTGGGTGAAACTAGCCTGTCGAAAGTTTCTTCTTCTTATACACCCCTGTTAATTTATGCAGCTGATTCATCAAGCAGTATTGCTGCTTCAGCTGTTGGGAGCTTTTGTAATCTTGTCCTGCTCTTCCTTGCAGCCATTCTAAGCTTCTTGTTTTCCTCCCTGTTCAGAGATTTGTGGTTACCAATGTACAGAAGACAGTACAATGGTGAGATAATGTTACATCAAATAATATAAGGGGAACAGGATGCAAAAGATACACCTAGGCTCTGTTCGGATGTCACTGGAATTCAAGAAGCATGTTTGTGATAAACTGGAATGGGTTTATAGACCAGTGTATACATTCATTTTTTAAAAAAGTGCATATATCCAACTGTTCTGATTAGGCAGGGAGAATCCCGATTAAACCTCTGTCATCTCATTTTTTCCAGCTGCTTTTGAAATATTCCAGTTTGTCACTCCTCCTCCCACTTTCCCCCTTTGTCCTCAGCTTACTTCAATTGCTGCAGAGTTCCAAGTGCAAAAGTAGTTTGTATTCAATTGAATCAACAGAAGAGAGGAGAGAAGGCAGAATCTTGCCTTTCCAAGTAGTCTAAGGCAAAAGCAAATTGCTGCAGCACCTCCTTGCTAGTGTGTTCTTCCTCTTTAATACCTTTTGCTGTTTTGACCACATGTGTCCTGAAACGATGGGTGTATGAAGTGTTGAACAATTTTTGGAATGTATCATTTAAGCTTGCAGAGATAACAGGCCATATACCAGTACTTCCCCACAAGGAAAAGAGTAATCTCCCAGTAGAAACATTGGCATACTGGGAGAAGAACAAATTTGTCATTCATCAATCTTTCATGCATTTTAGTGGTAGCGTCTACAATCCTTACAATTTGTTTTACATGAAATTCCGTGTCTTTTCTAAAGATTCATTTTTCCTTACAATGTGGCCAAAGTACGATAGCCTCAGTTTAGTCATCTTGGTTTTCAGAGAGAGTTCAGGCTTGGCCTGTTCAAGAACCCATTTGTTTGTCTCCTTGGCCATCCATGGCATTAATCTACAGGGTGACAGTTGTCCACGCTGGGTTTATTGGGACAGAGATGGGCTGACAAGAATGCCCAAGTCTAGGTATTCCTTTTAGTTCTGTGAGCACTTCTGTTTTATTTATGGCATTTGGAAAATACAGGAAATAGAGGTGAAGTATGTGAGAGATGGTGGAGAATGATTTCTTAAATTGTCTAGAAAAGGCACCATCTTTATAGTAATACAGTAAATTTAGGCTTGTGTGTTTTCTTAACAATTATTAATGTCTTTCTACTGAGCATGTGCAATATTGGCAGGCATGGAGGAAGAGTTCTTTGGGATTAAACTTGTTAAAAATTGTTAATTTGTGCCAGAAAGGGGAGGCATGCTGTTCATTCTTGATCAGCAACTGAATATTTATTATTATGTATGATGCTGGAATTGGAAGGCTGATGATGAAATTAATATGTCTCACTCATTTAACATTCTCAGTTTAAAAGATCTCTGTATTTGCATTAGTACTCCAGTTCTAAATAGTTTCCCCAAAAAGTTAATTCCCACAATATTATGTCAAAAATATATTTTAGAATTAGTCTTACATTCTTATTTAAAGTTTTTTTATTTTTCTTTTGCATCCCCAGTACTGCTAAAAATACACACTCTCTTTTCCTAAATAATGGGGATGCTTTTCATTTTTTAAAAAAGTATGTGTAACATCACAAAAACAATAATGGATAACACATTAATTAAAATCAAAGAAAAAATAGATGCAAATGTATGGTAGTTGTGAAAAACTTCACTGAATTCAATTTCCATCTAATAATGTTAACTTATATAATGAGATTAAGATATTCACCTGGTGTTGCCTGGCTAAGTGTTGATATTTGAATGATTTGAATGAAACAAGTTTTAGTGGTAGCATCTACAATCCTTAAAATTTGTGTTACATGAAATTCCATGCAAAATGGAACCAAGTCAGCAATGAAAGCGCAAAGTTTCCTATTGGTCCCAAATCTGCATGAAAATATTCAGGATGTTAGCCCTAAGTGTAAATATCAAATCTGAATAAATTCATTTTATAAATGTGCATTCTAGATGGGGAAAAGATCAAAAGTGTTTGTTCATGAGGTGCCTAAAGTAGTTAATGGACCGATCTAAAACCTTATTAGAGTCTTTGTTTTGGTCTTATTGAATAATTTTGTAATCAGACATACAGATTTGCATACCAGAACAGATGCAGATACTTTGAATTACAGCATAGTTGTATGGTATCCGTATGGTATCTGTCTTCCCAAATCTTTTCAAAAGATTGTCATTGTTGTTTATCATCCTCTAAGGAACAGGGAATGTATAACTCTTCATATGTTGTTGAAGATTGCAGCTCTCATCGCCCTGGCCTTTGGCCTTCCTGGCTGGGACTGATGGCAGTTGGACACTGAGAGGGACACACATTCCCCATCACAGCTATAAGTGAATACAAATAGTAATATTTGCAATCAGGATTGATTGGAATTTTTGTCCTCTCTGTCTTATGGAAGAAGCTGTTGTACAGAGGAAAAGTCTGATTATGTTATGTATTTATAAAGATATTTGTACTAGTTTGGACACAGTATAATGAAAGAGGAATCACATACCTGTCCAAGTTAAATTATTGTTCCTCATTGTGTTGTTATTTGTTGTCAGCTGGGTTTTAACTTAAGGCAACCCTATGAGCTCTAGTCATCAATAATAATCCTACTCAGGTATTGCAACCTCATGACTGTGGCTTCCTTGTTGTGTCAATCCATCTGTAATGCAGTCATCCACTTTTTCTATTGCCTTGTACTTTACTGAGCATTATTGGCATGATGTTTCCAGAGTATGATAGCCTCAATTTTGTTATTTTGGTGTCTAGGGGAAGTTCAGGCTTGATTTGCTTTCAGGCCATTTATTTATCTTTTTAGCATTCCATAGTATCCATATATGTTTCCTCCTGCACCTCACTACAGATGAACTTAACTTCTTTTTGCCAGCTTTCTTCATTATTCAGTGTTCACAGCCTTATATAAAAACCAGAAATGCTATGGCATGATCCTGACTTTGATACTCATTGATATATACTTACACTTGAGAATCTTACATAGTTCTTTCACAACTGCCCTTCCATGTCCTTGTCTTCTTCGGACTACTTTACTACAGCCTCTAGTCTAAATATGTATATTCTTTGTTCCAGTCTTGCCTATAATGGGGACATTGAGGGACTGAAGGCATGGCATTTGGCAGGTGTGGACCTGAATCAATCTGGCTATGATGGGAACACTCCATCTGAAGTAGTAAGTATGGCTATTGTAATATGTCTAGTTGACCATCTTCAAGGTTTGTATCACATTTCTGAACATCATTGTTAGAGGTGGAGGCTGGTGGCCCCATTGTACTGGGACAGTGAATCTACTCCCCAGAATAGATTCAGCACCTTGGATAGCTACTTTAAAATCAGAATAAAATTTAGAGCTCATGCACCACTCAACTGAAGCCTGCAGCAGCCCTTGCTCTCACTTCACATTCATCCAGCAATATGAGTACAATAGAGGTCCTGTATCTGCAGGACTGGTAACTACAGTTTCACTTACCCACATCCAGAAAAAAGGTGTTTCTAGGCATCTAGAGGTTCTCCAGTGTGACTCTATGGTCAATGTCCACTAGAAAAATATACAGTTCACCATTATCCATTATTTTTGCTATCCTTAGTGGGTCTGGGAACATATCCTCCACAGATACGGGGGTTGTACTATATAACAAAAAGGGGCTGCTTTGCTGGGCTAATCTGGACCATGCTCTCTCAACTATATCCCTCCCCTGTAATAGTTAAAATTGCTGGTTTTATGTGCTTTCAAGTTGCTTCTGACTTATAACCATCCTGTGTAATTGACAAAAGGTTTCTGGAATGGCTGATGGCTTTAACTCCAGAGAGACAAAACTTTGATTGAATTTGAGACAACCTCTGGATAGTTGGATAGGAAGGGTGAATGGGGACACAGCCTAGGTTAGGTGGAGGTATGGTCTTTAACTGCTTTGCAATGGGACTTACTCAGGGCCTTTGCAGACTGCCAGAAATAGTGCACATTAAATTGAGGCACTGCCCTGGCTCAGTGCTAGGGAGTCATGGGAATTGTATTTTTTTCTGAGACATTGAGCCTTCTCTGTCAGAGAGCTCTGGTGCCACAATAAATTACAGTTCCCATGATTCCCTAGCACTGAGCCAGGGCAGTGGCTCAATTTAATGTGCACTATTTCTGGCACAGTCTCCATT